GATAATGTGACACGTCTGCGGCATAATGCCCAGATCTTTCTATAAACTGTCATACTGCTGACATCGGTTATATGACTAAATTTCTTTTAAAGTTATGCTAAAAATCTAAATCACACACACACACGCACACACACACATACACACACATTGTTTCACATCGGCACTTGACATCTTGAGTTAACGGATAAAAGTATTTTGAACACGTGTCATCTTGCAAATTAACGTATCCCAACCAGAAACGAAATCAATTATCCAATACGAGCACTCATCACGTGAATCATTGCGTAAGGCGATTTCCACGAATTCCACGGGCAATGACTCTCAATTAGAAACTTGTAAAGGTCAATTCGGATAATCTTACGTACGATATGTGTCGTTCTTTACTCGGACCGCTTTGATTATTCCTAACAATCATCCAATTTAAATGTAACCAGTCATTTCATTTGGCCATTTTTTTACAGCTTCATCCAGTCAGATTAGCCGGTCAGTAAAATCCCATTTCGGCAAGCTGAAGATGCCAAGGGTTGATTCGGAACAAGCTGGATCGATAACCCTTGGTTAACAAAGATGATGTTAGATCACAACTGCTGTGATAACAACACTGATCCCCTAGAAGGTTCGATAATAAGAAATTCAGATAATTTGAAAGAGAATCTGGCATGAGGTATATGGCAAAAGTTTATTTCGTCAACAGACTATCACTATCAGATAAAGAGGAGGGGGAGGGGCGTTGCCATTCCATAATTGTAATGGAAGTATATTACAACTTCTTCACTTGCGTCTAAAACCATGCCATTCGAATCATAAAATGAAAGTATTCAAGTACAAAAACTAATGTCCAAAAAGAAAAAGGCTTGTATTGACTTTTGCGTGTAAAACATGCGTGATGCAAATTTATTCACTTTCGTTCTCCAGTAGCCAATGTAAAACACTGTTTACAGTCTACATGTCCATAAATACTCATCTCTTTCCCCAAAAGGTTCGATTAAGGCGACAATGCCATTAGACTTTCTACGAATCGCAATCATTGTAGAACATATCCAAATATACCATTGCAAATGCTGTGTAATTTATATACCTTAAAGAACTAAATACCCATTTAACAATTTCTTGTGGAGTTGCTGTCTTGCTCATTTCTAAAAGATATTTATGTCTGTCTTACTAATTAAAATGGGACTGTTGGTGGGATTGCAAACTTCCTTAAAATAAATTTTGTTTGACGTGGATGGCATCGTTCATTAAGTAATACTCGTTATAAAACCTTTTCTGATCAAAGAGGCTATTAGATAGTAAGGGTAGGGTGTCATAATACCGTCAGGGAATTGAATTCCGTCCGGAATTCTTTACATTACCTAAAAAGGACTGATCGATTTTACCAAGATCGTAGCCACGTAAACAAATATGCCGGTCATGGCGGCAACATTCTATTTATGTTCACTCTAACGATCTTGGTCGATTGAGAAGCAGGGAAACTATATGGGCGCTTTGAGACGTGTTACCAAACTGGGTGCATAACTGAAATGCTGGGGCTGCATCAGTAAGTGTATTTTCAATATAACCCTGAAACTCGATTTATCTTTTATCTTTGATATATTTCATTCCACCGGGCATAAAGCAAAACAAAGGACAATTACATAAACGAGGCAAGAACAAAACATAATTTTGAAAAAGCAATATAACTTATCGCATGGGTTAGCAATCAATAATTCGCGTCATTCACTGCGTTATTGACAAGTGTGCAATTCAAATTTTTATTTCTGATTTAAGAATTTGTTGAGTCGGTGATAATTTAAATCTAGTATAAGTATTGTTTTAAAGTTGTATTACAAAGTAGTATTTATGACTAATTACAAAAAATAGCTATATAGTTTTTACATTTAAATAGCTGCATTGGTAAAAATGTAAGTTGAGAGAATGCGAATTAATGTCAACGAAATATCTGGTAACTTTTTATGTCTTGTTACCTATGAATGGGAATTTGCCCCTTTGGTTCCTTCTCCAATAAGGGCTGAAGGTTTGAGAGTTAGAAGACGCAGAAAATAATAGGAGCCTTTGTATTTCCTATTTTATATGCTCCATTTTGGGTAAAGAGCGATAAGATAGGAGCCTTTGTATTTCCTATTTTATATGCTCCATTTCTGTAATGAGCGATAAGTCTATGATAACCCAGAATTATAGACCACCAATCTATAATATTATTTTTCTAACCCTAAGGCATGAACCCTCCAATCATGAATAATATAGTTTTGTAAAATACTTTTCCACTACCTACCTCTATTTTAATTTTTAAATATCAATACCTAACCTACAACTTTATAAAATCATTTACAGTTCAAACTTAAACAATCCATAATGAGTCTTTTCTTAAAAGCATTAGGCCGCTGACTTTCCAAACTTCTTTTAAAACAAATGACCATCCACCTTATAGATGTTAAGAAACAATACCCTAATCTATTCCATAAAATCTAAATTAATTCTGGCTTGGCTTGGCATGTGTTTTCCTTTTCCTGTGCGTCATCCCAAATTGAGCCAGTTCAGGCCCGTTAAAGTTGGCAGTTCACCAATCTGTCTCATATATTCGTCGATCAAACTTAGATATTGATGAACCAGACTTAGATATTAATAAATCAGACAGATATTCACCAGTCAGACTAAGATACTGATAAACCGGACTTAGATATCGATAAATCAGACTTAGATATCAATAAAGCAGACAGATATTCACCCGTCAGACTCATATATAGATAGATATTCACCAAACAGACTTAGATACTGATACATCGGACTTAGATAGCGATAAATCAGAATTAGATATTCACGAATCAGACTCGTATCTTCGTCAATCAGACTTAGACATTGATAAACCAGACTTAGTAATAAAGCAGACAGATAGATATTGACAGGTCAGTAATAGTCCCATCGGCCATAGAATATAACACTACTTAGACAATCAACACTCGTACACCAACATTCAACAATCAAATAATTAACACTTAACAACCGATATTCAGGTCGAGGCCCAGATCTTCAACTCTCAGATACAAATAATTAACACAACCGATATTCAGGTCAAGGCCCAGATCTTCAACTCTCAGATACAAATAATTAACACAACCGATATTCAGGTCAAGGCCCAGATCTTCAACTCTCAGATACAAATAATTAACACAACCCATATTCAGGTCAAGGCTCAGATCTTCAACTCTCAGATACAAATAATTAACACAACCGATATTCAGGTCAAGGCCCAGATCTTCAACTCTCAGATACAAATAATTAACACAACTGATATTCAGGTCAAGGCCCAGATCTTCAACTCTCAGATACAAATAATTAACACAACCGATATTCAGGTCAAGGCCCAGATCTTCAACTCTCAGATACAAATAATTAACACAACTGATATTCAGGTCAAGGCCCAGATCTTCAACTCTCAGATACAAATAATTAACACAACCGATATTCAGGTCAAGGCCCAGATCTTCAACTCTTAATTAACACTACCTATATTCAGGTCAAGGCCCAGATCTTCAACTCTCAGATACAAATAATTAACACTACCGATATTCAGGTCAAGGCCCAGATCTTCAACTCTCAGATACAAATAATTAACACTACCGATATTCAGGTCAAGGCCCAGATCTTCAACTCTCAGATACAAATAATTAACACAACCGATATTCAGGTCAAGGCCCAGATCTTCAACTCTCAGATACAAATAATTAACACAACCGATATTCAGGTCAAGGCCCAGATCTTCAACTCTCAGATACAAATAATTAACACTACCGATATTCGGGTCAAGGCCCAGATCTTCAACTCTCAGATACAAATAATTAACACAACCGATATTCAGGTCAAGGCCCAGATCTTCAACTCTCAGATACAAATAATTAACACAACCGATATTCAGGTCAAGGCCCAGATCTTCAACTCTCAGATACAAATAATTACTCTTCTACTTATACTTAGCGATAAAACATTATTCTGCAGAAAACCATGATGCCACAGAGCAAACAAATATCTGACTCCTGGTAAAGTCGTATGTGTCACTATATCCTCTCCTAATTAAATCCAGATGAAGTCAGAAATTAAAACAACAAAACAAAACATAAAGCAATAGGCTTTGCCGTAAATGTACATAGGCCATGTTATTCAGCACATTTATTATTGATGATCATATGGTATAGATAAACAGACAAGTTGTCATCAAATGAAGTCCTAAGCATAAAGCTACAAACATACGGTCAATACCGTATAAAAATTTATCTGGCATCAACCGTTGTTAGAAATAATCAAGATGTTATGTTTAAATGGCGTGAGATTTTACAGTTTAGAATAAAAGATGCCACCTCTTAATTCATTCCCTTAGTTACACCCCTTACTTACACGTACCTCTGTTCTCTTTCGGGAGTGCTCCTAAAGTAGTTGATGTGATACAATCAACAAAATTCCATTAGTGACTGATCTAATAACAACAACATTCGCACGTGGCGAACGAATTGATTCGTGAGGGAATAAAGAGATGCAGTTCCACTTTTAAAAACGGATCTGAAACAAAGCGTGCGTTAGATGAAATTAAGTCGCGGGTAAAACGTAACACGAGAATAGCGTCTTACATAAGTATCATCTACCGTATCCGACAGCCTGGTGTAGGCTTATTATGTTTGTTTCTTGTGTGCCAGCTTTAGACTGAAATCTGTTAATTCACGGTTGTCTACTATCAACATCAGATTACTCGGTACGCATGTTAAAAATTGACCGGGTTCTCAGTTCGAGAGAGAAATGACATGGCTCATCATCTGATGAAACATCCATATTATCTAATTTTAAAGGCAGCCAACAATGTTTCAGATCCAATATCTTTCAAGAGTAAGTATTACTGGATGATCTGACATAAGAACTTTTGCAAGTAGCGGTGGTGTTGTAACTTTAAGAACAGAATAAATGAACTCATTTGCTCCATCCCAAACTCCCAATCCACTCACAACTCCATTTCTGACCGCTCCGGTTCCTTAGTAGTTAGAACGTCCGCTTCGGATGCGGGAGGTTGCGGGTTCGATCCCCGGCCGAGTCATACCAAAGACGTTAAAGATGGTACTAACAGCTGCCTCGCTTGGCGCTTAGCATTAAGAGGATAGTGTTAGGACTGGTCGGCCTGGTGTCAGGATAGTGTGACTGGGTAGGACATCATGCTACATGTCTGCGGCACGATGCCCATGCAGTGCTAGACCTCACTATGAAGAGTCACACTGCAGACATCGTAGCGGTATAACTGAAACGTTGTCAAAGCTACGTTATAAGTCTAAATCGCACACACACAAACGCACACACACTCACACACACAAACACACACACAACTCCATTTCCAAATGAGACGTTTTCGTCTTACCTCGTTTTATTACACGATGGAGACGACACTTTATTTATTTCTCATATAATACTGGCACAGATAATTGTTGCTTTTAAAATATAGATAAACGAAATGTACACTTTATAAACGCAGGCCGTATGAATACCTAACAATATGAGGCTAAAATGGTCTCGATTGCGACGGTTCACATTCACGTGTATTTGATGCACACTTTGCACGAGATATATTGAATAATAACTGTCTGTAAGTCCCGTCTAGACCGGTATGCCTGGTGAGTTATTGTCATTTATCGCTTTGACCACTTAAAAAGACACATGTTATTATACAATTCCGCACGAAAAACTCGAAATTGACAGATACATTTTGTTATAGCCATCTTTACCCTGTCTATAGATGGACGTCTGATTTTGTTGCTAGTGACTCCAGTGCACGATATGTAGTAATTTTAGTATGTTCTTGCTTATAAGTCGAATCAAACAACAAAGACCCTGATCTTCCGTAGCATGAAGCGCTTGCATATCAGGCTCTATGTCATTTGTTATACTGATCACTCCTAATAAACTGCACCGATCTAGATCTGCCAGAGCATTAGGCGACAGCAGATCTTGGTCCGTGAAATTTGCATGTGGACTCGGCTTATAAGCGGCATTACCATGGTCTATGAATCTACGTTAAGGTCTAAGTACTCTTTTTGGTCAATATACCATGTACATGAGCCATATTACTTCAAATGAGCACTGTAGAAACTATGCGTCATTATTTCTATTTGATAGGGTAGTTTGATTACAATATGTTAATTGATAATAATTATAAATATTTTATATTGACTCACTGGAACAACTAAATGTAATTTATGTTGGTTTCTAGCACCTAATGAAACATTTAATTTTGTATTCATTCCACAAATTTTAACCTGGTTTGCTTCAGTCGGAAGATAACATTATCGGGCTATTTAATGCGTTTATTATCATACCAAATAAATACGTTTATTTACCAACTACTTAATATATTTGCTTATAAGTTGTGTCATCTGTGAACAACAAAGATCCCGATATGCCGTAATATAATAAGCATGCAGATCAGGGTCTATGTTGTTTTTTCTTCTGATTAATCCTAGTAAACTGCACAGATCCAGGTCTGTCAGCGCATTGTGCTAAGACAGACCTGGTTCTGTGCAGTTTGCAGTTTTTATCTTATAAACGAGTAAAGACGGTATCTAAATAAGTTTGTTATCAGACTAAAAAGATATGTTTATTTCCCCAGTGATGTTAAGAATATAGCATCCTCTCACGATTAATTTTATATTTGCTTGCTTCTTCTCTGTATTTCTTTTTGCTGACATTTATGCTTTGTAAATATATTGCATAAACACAATTTATTCCATTTATTTTGTTTATATTATACACGGCAACATATCACTTCATGTGATTCTGATTGGTCTAAATAAGCTCGTGCAATTATTGAGTAGGATTCTCTTTACTGATTGGCTGCGATCGTGGGAAAACGTGTGGCTGCCTTATTTTGAATCGACTTGCGAAAGAGAATTGGGGAGGGGAATAGTTTCGTCTGTTTCAAAATTGCCAATTTATCCTCACAAGGGTTTGTTATGTCATATATAACATATAATAACATAAAAAATGGCAAAACTCCCGCTACAAGAACAATAACAAGTAAAACTTCCGATATGGTTTAGATGATAAAGAGGGTGAGAATGGGCATGCATGGGCAGTATATCTGTATCCTAGAATCAAATCTATACACAAGCTTGGTTTAAATGTGAACTTACTAAAGTAAACTCCCCTTTGTTCACAGAATTTCAGATATAAACCGGTCTCCCCAACTGACAGAACATATCAAAACACAGCATATTTACGAGGTAAATAGTTGATGCAAGTCCGACTCAAGAGTTGTTTTCGTCTTCTGTATCAGTACAATCTAATGTTCCAAATCAAATACTGCAAATTTTAGGTCACAAATAAAATACAGTAAATATGTGCATTTCTGCATCCAGTAATCAAGTATTGCAAAAATATTTTAATAATGTTATGTTTAGTTGTGGAATTTCAAATTAAACACTGTCACTGTGTTGTGTTAACCAACTCAAACCGGTACTGCGCACCGATTCAAACAATCTGATATCACACTCATTGAACATTTCATGTTGTCAGATGTTTTGTCTTTTGTAAAAACATTCTGTTTATTTGGATGGACAATTATTCTTTGATTTATAGTTATCAAAATTGTATAATATACTGTTACTATTTCTGACTTTTTTAGGACTATTTTTTTACTCAACAAATGTACGGTACAGCGTCTCTCAGAATGAACGAAATTATTCCTTCTTCATTCTATCGAAATAATTTCTACTGAAATAAAACTATGCGATAAAAAGAATCTCAAATGGGTAATGATTTAATATTCAATTTAAGAAAGTCGTTAAATGATGTCCAGCTTTTGCTCGCCAAGACTCGCCAAAGCTGGACATTGTTCAAAACGTTTCATAAATTTAATATTATAAAACCTTACCCATTTGAGATCGTCTATAAATTGAAACTGCTCACGGTATCGTTATAATTATTCTGATTATTCAAAACTAAATGAGTTATTTCGCATTCTTTCTTTTAATCTGATTCAATATTGTTTTATTTTTATGTTATTGGAATGCTGCAATACTATACAGAAAGCATGAAATTTGTTAGAAAAGATGAGTCTAAACAAGATATTCCCACGGATATCAGTTCATAAATTTTAAGCAAGTGAAATATTGTTATTATAAATTATAAATAAGTAAAAAATCTTTATTTTTTGCTCATCTATGACCTTTTCTAAGAATATTTTATTGTTGGTTGACTTTCCTTGTATGTGACCGTAAAATTTCAAAGATTTTAAAACCATATTAGGACCAGATATTTTTGAGGCACAACGCGCCATAAACGAAGCTGGAGTTGCCATGAACATTTGATTTTAAGGCATTCACATGATGATCCTCAGGGAGAACAGCGCTTTCCGGTAGTGATAATATAATGGATTAGAACAGTGTCAATGTTAAATTGGATGTTTTGTTCAATTTTATTACATCAATAGGTTATTCCGATGTTATCATACTCTAATCAGAACATCGCTCAGACTTTTCCTTCAAGTCGTGAGAGAAATATTGGATGTTTTTCGCCTTCATTGACAACATTATTTTGAAACTGCCTTAATCCACATGGCAGAAAATGGCGGCGGATAAAGACAAATTCACAGACGAAATATTGTCGGCCTTTTCTGTCGCAACCTACAAGCTGCACTCAACCAGAGGAGGATTGCCAAACCAATCAAATTTATGTTTATTCCTGCAACTGCATCGGTGTTTCTCCACTTGACGGAAACAGCCGATTGATATTCCGATTAGTCATATCCATGAAACAGAAGTTTACATTTCGATTTGCAGCAAAACAAATAATCCGCATGTGTACTTTTCTCATAATGTAGTTCGTGTGGAACTTGCCTAGAAATTACAAAACTGAGTTTGAATTTGAGACTGAACTTCAAAGTCCGGTCCATCAAAACAAAGACTATGCCGAAGAGGAATCATCTGTGACAACAGGTGGATGCAAACAAAAAGAATATACAATTCAGATCTACAGACGTTAGGTCGTCTAAATAATAGACCTTACATAAATTTTTCCACCGACTCGACTGCATGTTTCTCTTTCAATTAAAATGGGCAATTAAAACTTACTGTGTGACTGCACTTTGACTGATGTGCATATTGTGTCTTAGTGTTAAAGAATGAAATCGTTGAAAGAAAAGAAACCCAAGCAATTACTCCCAAAACGAAAAATGAGCCAAAATGCTAATCTCAGGTTGCTACTTCTTAACAATTTGTGCTCCAATTAAAATATAATATTCACATTTAAGAATATCGGTGTAATCGATTTTTTTTCTCTGGGCTTCTGTTAACAAAATGAAGCCGATGAGTTTACTAATTAAGGTTTTGGATTAGTGATAAGAACGGCACGAGTTGGATTCTCATCCCATGATCAGCATAGATTTACTCTATATCGCCTTGAGATAGCTGTAACCCAGGTTGACCGTAGATGTCCTTGGCATCGATGTAATCAGAATGACCTTGTATTGCCTTCGGATTAATGTAACCCAGAGTGACCGTATATTGCCTTGTGATTGATGTGACCCAGAGTGACCGTGTATCTCCTTGGGATTGATATAACTTTGAAAGTGCTTTTGTGCCTCAAAACACCAAAACTAAGCGAAACTAATAAAATCTCTCTCTCTCTCTCTCTCTCTCTCTCTCTCTCTCTCTCTCTCTCTCTCTCTCTCTCTCTCTCTCTCTCTCTCTCTCTCTCTCTCTCTCTCTCTCTCTCTCTCTCTCTCTCTGTTTGTAGAGATTTGGATCACAATTTGCTGTTTTCTTCTTTATTGTGACAACAATTTAAAAAATATAAAGACGTGGAAATACTAGTTAACATTGATGCTTTTTGTTGCATATAGAAAAATATATAGTGATGAGGACCACGATGCTTATGATGAAGATGAAATATATAATGATCATATTGTTATTTTCTTTATAAAAACGACACAATTTTTTTATATCAATGTTTCATTTTAAGATTTATAGGATACCCCTGTTGCAATTAGGTTCATAAAGCAAAGGTCAGTCTATGTAGTTACAGCTAGGTTGCCATAAAACACAGGTCAAT